TACAAACTGGAGAGATAGCAAAAAAATTGAAGATGTAAAAATAAAAAATATTTTATTTGTGTACTTATTTTTATTGATACTCGTACCTACCCATCTTACATACAGCACTAAATAGGTAGTTTATGTAATATTTCACCAAACAGAGAAACAATAAACACTAAAATGCGATTACGAAAGCAAGAATAATACACGTGCGGCGTCGGCGATTGCGTTGGCAACGGTACTGGATAGGCGAAAACGGGGCGGGGTGCGGGGGCGCCAGGGGAAGCGCATTCCAGCGAGGTTCGCAGATATTTCCGACGGCTTGTACAAGAAATAATTATCATAAAATATGGCGATTAGTATCATTTCACTAACAGAAAACTTCAGTCGAAAAACACCATTAAGGATAGATCAACTCCACTCACCTTGAACCTTCCTTCGCCGGCACCTTAATCATCTGGGATGATACACAAAGCAATTGAAGAACCGTGGTAGTCTAATGGAAGAACTATCTAACGTAGTCATCGCGAGAATGAAGGTAGGACAAAAATATTTCTACCTACGTTTTGCCAAGAGCGAACAATAAATTATATCTTTTATAAATAATAGTTTTAAAAAACTAAAAACCACGCTTTTAAAGCACATCAAACTAAAAAGTGAAAAATAATTCCTAATTTAGGCTGAAAATGGTAATGAACAAAAAATACTGGTATTATTGTGAAAAAGCGTGGGTTGCTCTATAGACGAAAAATATGGCACAGAGCGCCCGACTTTTTCACTTTTTAGTTTGATGTGCTTTAAAAGCGTGTTTTTTAGTTTTTTTAAACTATTATTTATTTTTTTAGTTAAATTTTTTTTTTTCGGATTATTGCATTGTCATCGATCTTTGACAGGTTACATACATACATACATACATAAATACATACATACATACAGGTGAAGCTAATATAAAGCGTGTAAAAAAGAAATACAATTAGCTGTTACGATTTGCAATAGTGCAGTAATAATATGTAATGCAACAAGTGACAATTGTCGGGTCTATTAAAATAAAAACTAAAAATTACTTTATGAATTTTGTATTTAATGTAGGAAATATTCGTTAACAAAGTTTTAATTAAAATGTGTATTACTCGTGTAAAAGTAAATCATGCTTTACGTACATTTAAACTTTGGTTAGAACATTTATGTTAAATTTCGTATATTAAACAAGAATTATAAATAAAATATTGTATAATATATTAGCGTAGTGTATAAAATAACTAAGCGTCGGGGCTATTATAGTTGTTTGTTCAAGGGAAAGTAGCAACAAATATCGTAAATATAATAAGTAAAACTTCCGAGGGACAGTTTGGGGTATCTGGGGGGGTATTTGTGGGACAGTTGTGATCATTAGAGCGGCTTTAGTAGCCATTACAGACTAAATTATACAGAAGAGGTTATTTGTATGTCGTATAAGAAGATTATACGAGTATGAAAAAGGACGCGCCAAAATAAAATCATGAATATTTCTATAAAACTTATTTCCCAACGAGGCATCAAAAGACAAGTCTATGAGAGAATATGTGGTCATTTATAATGGTACTATAAATAATTAGGAATATAGAAGATGACTTAGGGCAAGAAAAGAGATTACCAATTCTTAAAAGGCCGGCAACGCGCGAGACCTCTGCCTTTGAGAGTGTCCATGGGCGGTGGAATCACTTAACATCAGGTGAGTTTCCTGCCCGTTCTATAAAAACGAAAAAGAAAAAAAAGAAAATATGATTATTATGGAACATAAGATACAGGTATCACTTATTCCACGTTTCCACGTAAATTTTAATTTGTAGGCATCCCTACTCATCGGCGAAGAAGACAGGGGGTGTAGGCCGAGAGAAAAAGCCGGCATAAAAAACTCTCGGTACTCTTTTAAAATAGTAAATCATCCAACAACACTTATGTTAAAACAAATATCGCAAATTAATTAGATGTAGCCTGTCTAGCACTAGTCCCAAGCCCTTTTATCAACTAGTTAATCGTTAACTTTATAGTAAGCCGTTTTACACAGCTTTTCTTTGATACATTTCTTAAATTTATTAAAAGGCCCATTTCCACTCTAGTTAATTTATTTTTATTGCAACTTCGTTGTTTTTCTTAAACTTGTATTCTTTATTTTGTCTAATCTTTTCTTCCCTATCATACATCGTTTCATCGATCTTTGACACACCTGTAGCTTTGTATGCTGCGATTTAGTGGGCGCCTTAGTTTGAGATCCATATCTTTGAATAAATGACACGCGTAGCAAATAAGAATTATACTGTCCAGATGCCAGTGTAAAACCTTGCCTCTTTCATTACCCTTCTGAAACTACTGTTAAACAACCTATAAATAATCGAACCTCATCACGAATCAATAATTATATTTAATAATAAATTTACAAAAGGCATATTCATTCTTTAACAAAAAGTTTTGTTTGTTTCCTGGATATAAAAATAATAGTCACTGAAAATACAATTGTCTTCATGAAAATGACAACAAAGGATTCATTGTTTCACGGCACTATCTCCGGACTTAAGGTGAATGGAGCTTGACCGATCTTGTTACAATTCAGGTATCTGCTTTCTAGTGCTTTGGTGACTATTTTATAGAAAACCAGTGAAGAGCAGGAAAATCGGCAACATACTTTTGGTACAGAGTATTGAGGGCTAAATTTGTTTGTAATTTTTTTTGTTTGGGACGTTCTCACCATCTCTTATGGACATCTGCATCACCAGGAGGCTTGCAAATGCGTTGCCATTAAGGAAGTGCTACATAGATCTTGTAATAAAAAAAGTAGTTACAGGTAATTTAACTCAACAGTATTTTTATGTGTGTGGGTTACACCACTCCTTATATCGAAATTGTATTCGTTTTTACAACAAATTCCCAAGCGAAGTTAGAGAATTATCACTAAAGCCCTCAAACGTAAATTAATCAATAAAAATTTTATAAATTTGAAGAATACTTAAATGATCCGAATCCTTGGGATTGATTTGCTCCAGTTCAAACAATTTGTATGACTCAAAACTTAGCGATTAAAAAGACTGGCGGAAAGCTTATTTCCAGTTCTTCTTGTCCGCTCTACGCCCTTGACTTGCGAACTGGTAGTAAATGTAAATTTACAATTTATTTAACTTCTTTTTTGACGTTCATAAGTGTACTTGTTTACCTATATCAATAAAGATATTTTGAGTTTGTGTTTGACCCAATAGGACATCGGACATTTCTGTGTCTGTTGATTCTGATCTGTGTTGGCTATGATTTTTTATTTCATTGTATTTTTAAATTCGTTTTTATATACGTTCGATTGGCGCACAATTTAGTGTAGGTTTAAAATTATACCTCTCTATATTGTCTTCTTTTATTTTTATAATTAAATTAAAGAATTTATACTTATATTATATATTACGTGTTTGTAGGGTGAAATTCATTTTCAAAGTACTGATTTAAAACTTCATGACATCCGTCGAGTTTCAGTCAGAGCACGTTGAGAGGGAAAAGCAAAGTTACCGACATTACGCGCCTTATGTAAATCGCAAAACTTGCGAAGGGTTGAGATGAAAGCATTCACCAAGTATTTTAAAAATTCATTCTAGGAGAGATAAACCATATTCTTTATTGCTGTGAAAAACACTACCTGATTTTTTTGGTAAAATTAAACATTACTAAATTTTTGCTTCACTCATTCCGCTGGCTCTGCGACTGAAATAAAAAATATGTCTCCGAAACGGAGACTCTATAAAGTCTCCATTATATTAAATTCCAAAGCCATGCGAAAATAACGAAATATGTATTACTTACGTATTATATAAATATTATCAGCCTTGCGATTCTGAAACTCACTTTTCGAACTCACGAAGGGAGGGAGCTTGTAGTTTATTGTTTATCAGAATGCCAAATCGTAAAATGACTGCTTTACGACTGATTTGAGCGCGACCGCCGCTGTGAAAACCGCTGTGAGACTTCGAAAAGTGAGTTACAGAATCGCAAGGCTGATTTGTATAAATGGATGAATTAGATATGGACTGGCTACTGATATATTATGCTTAAGTCTGGAAAGGCAAGTTGGCAAAAAGATTCGAATTGTCTTGAAAGTATTTCTATCTATTTCAAGTGCAGTTTATTTCCAACTTCGCTCAAATTGACGCGAAAGATAAATTTCACTTTTCGACACCTGAACGTCTCGAAGTTATCTTAGAGTCCATTACCAGTATCAGAGTTTTCCACTTATTTATGCGACTTGTGGAAGTTATTTTAACTTATGTTATAATTTTAACAAGTGAATAATTATAAATATATTAAAATGGAGATATAATTATTTTTATTGTTGTTTGTATTATCACTGTTTTTGACGTGACAACGTCTTATAACTCGATGGAGCCGGCTGCACGCACGAAAAAACATGACGCATTCGGCGTTTCCTCACTCTGAGGAATTGAATTGAGGCTTGAAGTGCAAGCGAGAGCGCGGAACGAGCGACAAAGTGGCACAATCGGCCTCCGCGTTCGGCAGCGTTCGACATCTTTATTGTATATATCGTACTATATGGATTACATTGTAATCGATCAATTCAATTGTGATTTCTAATTACCTCCTTCTCTATCTCCATACAAAATATCTATCAAACAAATAAAATTAAAATTTTCTTTTGAAAAAGTAACCATTCCATCAGTATTATCTTATGACGTTGTCACGTTCAACCGTCAGTAAACCGAGTTTACAGACAACCGATTTTTTGTACTTGATTTCGCAGACCGTGTCTGCATATTGTAGGGATGGCAAGGCTTTTCATATTTTTGTGTGTTCGTAAATTTGTTTGTTGTATCATGTGTTTCTCCTTTGTGGGCCAAATAAAAAAAACATTATACTAAAATGATACTGTGATGTCACGTCACACTGTTCCAATATTTGAAAGTAACTTGAAAATAAAAAGTACGACAATTTGATTTACATATTTATTGTACGTTACTTAATATTAATTAAACCGTTTGTTTCCAGAACTATTCTCTCATGGTAAGTTTTAAGGGTAGACCTCCGTCTATGAACTGAATAAGATACGCTGCTCGATTTGGGCGAATATTTTTCCGAGTTGACTGTGAAGGTTTTATGTTGTATTTATGAAGAACTGCTGCCAGTCCTACCATCGTATTTAATGTTCCAAAACGAGCCCCTGAAAATTATGATGAAAAGAATGTTACAATAAAAGATATAAATACTATACTTTAATCACATAAGTCTTGGGAGGCTTTTTGGTGGGAAACACCGTTATATATACTCTACTTATTATAACTACTCTACTTTTATACTTATTAATTATAAATATATATATAATTTATACTGATAACGAAACAAAACAAAGCAGTATCTTTTTTTATAGAACAAATGGGCAGGCGGCTCATCTGATGTTAGTAATTCAGCCATCCATGGTTACTTTTGAAAATTAGTACGCTCTCTTGTCGAAGGAGCTTTAATCAAATTGCTTCGGAAATACTTCAGTGCACAGCTGGTTCCACATAGCGATGGTGCGCGGCAAAAACTGCCTAAAGGCTTTCGCTATATCCCAACTAACCGCTAGCGCCTCCCCCTTGCATTCAATTGCCTCTGTCCATCTATGTGTAAGATATACATGAAGGTCAACGCTTTTTTTAGAAATCGGATATATTGAAGCGGTCTTCCAGCACTTCGAAACACAGGTCAGGTACAGGTCCAAGGAAGACAGAGTTTTTCGGACAGCACGTAAGCCAGAATATGATTTGCTGCATTGAAGTATCACACCGCAAAATGGACGATGGTGACTTCCCTGGTAATCCAAAGTCCAGTTAAACGCAAAGAGACAGCCAAAAAGGTCGGCTTTCTCCATCGCGGTTTGGGCTAGCTAGTCATCCTCCCTGTGCGAGGTAGGATCGGGAGGCTGGCAGAAATTCGACAGGAAGGCTTTAGCGAGAGACGAGAAGGTTCGAGTCCCTGAAGCCTGCCGGCCACTCTCACAAATCTGGCAATATGCTCAGATATTGCCCTAGCAATCTCTTGTTTAAAGGCCCTGAGTCAGAGGTGGCTGAAGGAGACATTTCAACAAACGCCGTCGTTTTACTTTTTAACTATTTAAGTTTCACCTTCAGTTAAATACTATTTTTGTTTCTAACTATATATACAGGTGAATCTTTTACTGGGCAGATGGATGAAGACACATATGGTAAAATTCATCAAATGAGCGGAATACTGCTATATTAATGAATTAAATTAAACCATACCTATACATTTTCTTGGTCCCTCTCCAAACGGAATATATGCGTATTTGTGTCTTGGTTGCGAAGATTCATTCGAAAAACGCTTCGGGTCAAACTCCTCTGGGTTATCAAAGTACGTTTCATCCATGTGAAGTGCGTGTATAGGAATTGTTATTCTTGTTCCAGTTTTTATCGTTCCATTTATTCCCGGTAGGGTACAATCATTGGGCGAAACCCTTGTCGTCAAACCAGCTGGTGGAAATAATCTTAGTGATTCTTTTACTACCATTTCTAGGAAAAGCATTTCCGATACTGATTCATAGCAAAGTCTACCATCGTACTTAGCTAGTATTGTATCAATTTCTTTTTGAACTTCCTGTTGTATTTCAGGATGGTGTGCGAGTTGATGCATGGCATAACTCATTGTTGTTGAAGAAGTTTCAAAGCCAGCTATAAAATATATAAACAGTTGGGCAGCTATTCGGTTATTATCAAATTCAATTTCTGTCTGTTTATATTTGCCAGTATCATCGGTTTCTAAAGAGTCACCAGTTAATTTGCCCACTTCACCCAACTCGAGTAAAATATTGATAAAATCGTTTTGCTGAGTGTCACCATGTTGTCGGTGACTACGAACGCTATGTAGAATTTCCATAATTATATCGCGAACTTGCGGTTTTATTAAAGAAACCTTATTAATAAGCGATTGAGGAAAAAGGTCATATACTCCAAACAAAATCATTTGCCATTTAGACTTAATAAACATATAGTCACGTAGTTTAATAAAGAGAGACTGCTCATTATTTATGGCATTCATGTCAATGCCGAATCCACAAGCACCAATCAAATCTATTGTGAAGCGTGCAGTAAAAATATATGCATCAAATTCTTTTTCTTCTATTGCTAAATTGTGAGCTATTTTCACAAATTTTTCTGCATAGTCTACTACAATAGGAAACATGCTTTTTATTCTACTGCTTGAAAATGCTGGCGAGAGGTTGGTTCTTAGTAACTTCCATGCATCGCCTTCTTCTGAGAGCATATTTAACATGAGGGGCTCAATTTTTGCATCACGTTTGACTCCTCGATTAGGAAACACTAAGAAATTTTCGCTTAAAATATATTTCACTAAATCAGGATCACGAACGATGATTTCTGGATTCGTCCCTCTGTAATATCCCACATATTTTTCGTCAGAATATTTTTTATATAAATAGCATGCAGTCTCAATATTAGTTCTCCTTGCAAAAAAGACTTTTGTATGATTTCCAAAAATTGGTACAGGCGATTCATGTTTGATGTTTCTTTGAGAGAAATATTGAAATTTTCTCATGTAATAGAAATACAATATAACAACAATTAGAAGGATGTATAACATTTTACTATTATTGAATACGACTGTTATCAAAGACAATTTACGTAGAATATTTAATTTTTAATGAATCACGATATCATAAAATTGCATATGCCGAAGAATTCGTGATCACTATTAAATATATCAAATGACTTAGATACATTTTTCTAATTTTAGCGTTAGCATAAAAGAAGAGACATAGTCTTGAAGCAGGTTAATTTTATTATTTAGTTATTTTTAAATGTACGAAACGTAACACATTGCTTAATTTATTAATAAATTGATGTCATTGTAGCTTCTTAAAGATAATGTATCTTGTAATGATAACTGAACCTCATTTTTATGTAAATACATTTTAAGTAATTTCTATAAAATTTACATTTTCTTAACGCTCGTCACAGTGCGATAAGAACTATGTAACGTAAATAATTAATAGGCCTTAACATAATGTTATGAATATAATATTTAGCAGAAATGGCGTCGAGTTTGCAAATCTAATTAGTTTTTAATTGCGTTCTAACGTCCCGGTTAAGGCGGTTCTAATTAAGGCAACGTCAAATAAACTCCTGTGACAACGTGATACTAAAGCCTCGGGCATTGCTAAAGGGAATAGTTGTGAAATTAATGAACGTGAACAATGCTTAGACGGAGACACAATAGCGTTTTAATAGTCACGTGATAACATGTGTCGGGGTAATTATTTAGTAAACGTTGTTATGGAGACGTTTTGAACCTATTGAAACAAAGGGTTTTAGCATCTAAGCGAAACATCGGTCCCAACCTTTTTATTAAATGGTATTTTCTTGCGATTGACTGGTTTACAGACTAACAGTTATACTTTAGCTGCCCCCGCGAACTTCGTTTCTCCTTAATGTGATTTTACTTAGCCTACCTTTTTAGTACATAAAAAGTCAAGTCATAAGATAAATTAACAAATGAAAAATAGGGGTTGATCGTAGAAGGGTGAAAATTAAGGGTTGTATGTATTTTTGTATGCTGTATCATAAATAAAAAAAAACTAAAAAGTAAAAATTTTGGGTCGGACCACCCTTAACATTTAGGGGTTTGAAAGATAGATAGTAGCCGATTCTCATATTTACTGAATATGCATAAAAAATTTCATAATAATCTGTCGGAAGAGTATCGGAACGAACATTGTGACACGAGAGTTTTATATATAGGAAGATTAATATACAATATACCAAATAGTATATATGATATACCTCTTATTGGAATCGGTTCACTATCCTATGTTTCCATTAATGAGTTGTAATGAATCTGAGATGCACCATTGGTATAATAATTAACTTTTTTTTAAATAAATTGGAGTTTATATGAGACATTTACATTTTATTATACAATAATTTGTATCCTAAAATAATTATTTAATTTATAGAATGGTTTGTGTATCAAACAAAATGGATATAAGTTCTGTGATAATTAACTTACTAATTATTTATTTATTTATAAATAATCTTACAGCTACACATATACATATTATAAAAAAGAAAACATTTAGACAATATACAAACCTAAAACAGATTAGGTACATTGTGAAACAAAATATACGAAACAGAAACCATAAGTCAATTACGTCAATTATACCTACTGGGTGGCGCAAAAGTAAAGACCCTATTTGGTTCAGCTATAATTTTTTTTTCTAAATTAGAAAACTAGATTTAGGTTTTTTTAAATGTGTATTTATGCCATTAAATTTCGTACCATTAGGATTTAAAGATGATGTCTTTTAAATGGTGACCTCCAGAGTTGATGCACATTTGAGCCCTATTTATGACATTTTGCATAACTTGCCGTAATACTTCCTGCGCTATGTTCCTTATTTCATGATGAATATTTTCTTTTAGAGCTACGAGAGTCTGTGACTTATTCACATACACCCGAGATTTCAAAAAACCCCAAAGAAAGAAGTCTGAACTCGTCAGATCGGGTGATCTTGCAGGAAATCGTCGACGAAATTCACGTTGTGTTTTTATCACTGATTAATTATTCCGTAAGAACATTGACACGATTATTCCACGTTCTTGGGGAGTAAAACGGTCCATGCTTATTTTCAGTGTACCTTACATTTGTTCACAACACAATTTTCAACAACAGAATGAAAACTATCGTCATATAAAAACCATAAACAAATTTTCTTTAGTGCCATTACTTTTGCGCCACCCGTTACAAAGAAATCTGAAATTAAACATTTGCGTTTTTTTTTAGATTAAATTGTTTCATTGCTTATTAACTAAACTAGTTTTCAAAATGTAAAACCCATGCGTCAAGGATTTATCTAGTGTTTTGTCTTACAACTGGAATTTGCTCACACAAAGGTTACTCAAGGTCAGGCACAAACAAAAGCGACAAACAGCACGAGGCTATGTCTACACACACAAGAATGGAAACAAGCGAGCAAACAGGAAAATTGGGCTCGTAATCCTTTCAGTGATTTTGAAATTTAAATGAAGGGACCGTGACTTTAATATTTCACGTAGCAAACATGTGAGTGAATTAATTATGTAAATTAGTTCGTCGCATATTGAAAATTAACGCGCATTACTCTAATGTGGTCTAAAGTTAGCAATAGTGCAGGTCATATTCTGTTTCAGTTTCAAATTATCGTAATGGCAAAAGACCGGACGGTATGTGTTTGATTCCATGGAAGATGGGCCGGGTATTGGTATGGGATGCAACCTGTTGAGACACGCTGGCCCCATCCCATCTACATGGAACCAACAACAGAGCTGGTGCGGCTTGTGAAGCGGCTGAAAAAGCTAAAGCATGCAAATACAGGGGTCTAGGCTCAGAATATGTATATGTCCCAATCGGTGTCGAGACCCTTGGTCTGTGGGGTCTCTAGCGCTTTAAGGCTTTTTAAAGAAATATCAAAAAGGTTAGTCGACATCACAGGAGACCGAAGATCTGGCAGCTACCTCGGACAAAGAATTAGTCTAGCGATTCAAAGGGGGAACGCTGCCAGTATCTTCGGAACCTTGCCTAAAGGGACTCCTTTTAATAATATATTTTAGTTTATGATAAGGCTAGTTATTTATTTCAATGTATAATGTATAGATTTTTTTTTAATTACTGTAAATAAGTTCATCTAATATAATTATATATTTAAGGAGTTGCAGTTAGGCACTCTCAATACAATTATATTTATCATGTGAGTTATAAATAAGACTGATATAGTATATCAATTGACTATCGTTTTTTTTAAATGTCGCGTTGAAGATTACATATATAAAGACGGTTATTCTTTTTATAAATTACATTTTAATTAAATTTGCATTAGGGATACAATCAATCAAGCGATATGTAAGTAGTTAACTCATTTGTTCGAATTTTCAAAAAAGTTATATAAAAACTGAATATACATACTACGCTATCAGGACAAGATCTAATGATGATTAAAACTTAATTACTTTACAAATATTTAAAATAATTCAACATGACATGACAACTACAAAATTCATTGATAATTAAATTATTTATTTTTTAAAATAAGCTGCATTGGGAGCCCTCCGTCGACACTGTGTACGATGTAAGAGGCTGGATTCACTTTTATATTTCTAGTTGATGAGGGCGAAGGCTTAATGGAGAATTTCTCGAGAAGCACCGCTAAACCTGCCATAACGATCAGAGTCCCCAATCGAGCTCCTAAAAAACAATAAAAAAGGTAGTAAGGTCACCCGGGGCGAAAGCAACTATGGGGCTAAAGTGACTAATTGATTTTATTCACAATTTAATGATTTTTGTAAAACGTGCCATCTGTTGAAGAGTAGAGCAATTATTACTTTTTTTTATAAAGTCTAGATGGAGCTTTTAAGTCGCTAACTGTTGTACTGACAGAGCATTTTTTGACTACCGCCATTTTGGAGCAAAGTTTTGCGGCGCCGTCTGTTTAGTTTTGTGCCATAAAAAATATTTCACGTTATTTCCAGCCAAATTGAAGGTTCATCCTAATATAAAGATAAAACGTAAGTGCTTTTGGTATATTTGGTTAAAGGCTAAGTCTTTTAATTAACATTTTATTTACATAGTTACATTAACCTCAAATTTTTGTGCAGATGGGTAATTGCAACTATTTTTGCAGTTGCAATAGCCCCATTGTATTTGTATGAAAAAATCAAATCACTAGTGAAGTTCCGTGTCGATATTTCAACAAGTGAAGTTCACTATCTATTTGCATAAAATATTTACCTTGGTATCTGTGACGTATTTTTTTAAACTTATATATTGTTTTTGTTAATAATTTAATTGAATTTATTTACATAGAAAACTTAATAATACGTGTTATTGAAAGGCAGATTAGGCGTGCACAAAATACATTCAAACTATAAAACTATGAAAGCCTTTACATAAAGTTACGATTTTGTTAATCTGCAGAGACAGAACGATACTTACGCATCTGCCCAGTGAATCTCTTAATTCAGAAATTGGCAGTAAGAATTACTGGACTGATCAATATTATCCTAGGTTTAATGATTACTCACATAATGTGGCATTATTAAATGCCAATATTATTAAGTCAGCTAGACATTAAGCAAAAATGTTGATGTTAATTCCCAAAAAATAACTTTAGCAAGACTGCGTTTTTGTACTTATCTACTTTCATGTTATCTATTATACTTACTGTCCTTAGATGTTTATTTGATTATAAGAAATGTTAAACCTTTTACTATGAAGATTTATTTTTTAATGAATCGCATTTTAATTCTTTACCTTAAATCAGACTAATAATTTTTCGGTCCTTTCATCGAATTTTTTTTCACGAAGATTTATCGATAAATTTAGTAGTACGTATCTGTCCAACACTAGCAAGTATGGGAGGCAGTCGCATTCGCCCCATAAAAAGTTTAAATTAATTTTTCTGGAAACTGAGCCTTATTCCCAGCACCTAGATACCAATTTCAGATACCTGTAGTGTGAAACTATATATACCCTTATTCCAAACGTATAGATTACGATTACAACAAGGTCATTTAACTGATAGTTGCATTAGCCTCAAGGTGGGGTAAATGTAACTTTTAGTGCTCTTATTCAACAAGAATGTAAATTATTCAATAACTTAAGCCTATTTTTCACGTACTTTATGTCGGAACTATTCAATGAAAGGCATGGAATAAAGTAAGTTCATTTAAACAACCATCATAATTAGGTAGCTAATGGTAGAGGACGACAAAGTACCAATTTATAAATTTTTAGTTGCTTTCGCCCCGGGTGACCTTACTATGATGTGTACGTATTAAAATATGAAGTCTCAGAGCGAGTATAGCTTTGGAAGAAAAGGTTCCTTTAGCCTCAATACTATGGTAACATTCAAAAGAAAATTGCGAAATAATTAAAGCAAATGATAAGGATTGTTTTAAGTTTAAGAGTCTGTTATAGGTGAGATGTCTTATTATACGGACGATATCTTATTCAGACGGCACACTGATGGCTTTGATGAATGGTGGCGCTAGTATCGCCAAACAGTAGCAGAGCATATGTGATCATATGATATATATTTTAGTTTATACTACATAACTATGCAATTATAAGTCGATTATACCTATACATTTTCTAGGCCCTTCTCCAAATGGTAAAAACACGTATTTGTGGCGATTCTGCGACGCTTCGTTGGAAAATCGTTTTGGATTGAATTCTAGTGGGTTTTCAAAGAATTGTGGGTCAGTTTGGATTCCATATACTGGTATACCAACTGTTGTACCAGCCTCAATTTGAATGTTAAGTTCTGGTATGACAAAATCTTTTGTACAAGTCCTTCCTATCGCAGCACCGGGTGGAAACAGTCTCAATGATTCCTTTGTTACCATTTCCAATAAATTCATTTGACATAGTGATTGATAACACAGTTTATTATCGTTTTTGGCGAGGATTTCATCTATTTCTTGTTGTACCTCATTTTGTATCTCAGGGTGGAACGCTAGTTGATGCATAGCATAGCCCATGACTGTCGATGACGTTTCAAAACCAGCCACGAAAAATATGTATAATTGAGCCAGCATACGATCTTCATCAAATTCGATTACAATTTTTTTCTTCTTACCGTTTTCGTCTACTTCCATAGCGTCGCCAGATAATTTTCCTATTTGTCTTAATTTAAGCATCATGTCCAAAAAATCATGAGTTATTGCATCATCTGTTTTTTGACTGCAAACACTGTCAAATATTTTTTTTATTATCTGTTGAATATTTGATCTTTTGAATCGCATTATTTCCGGAAAAATGTTAGGGAAAAGATCGTAAATACCAGATACAAGGATCCTCATTTTAGATTTTACGAATAGGATATCTCGAAGGTGCAGGAAAAGTGAATGTTCATTGTTCATTGATTTCATATCAATGCCAAAGCCACAAGCACCGATTACATCTATTGTAAATCGAGCGGACAAATTGCAAGCATCAAATTCTTTTTCCTCTAAAGCAAGATTATGGGCAACACTGACTAATTTGTGTGTACAGTCCACTATCAAGGGTAGCATATTCTTTAATTTACTACTGGAAAATGCTGGCGAAAGATAATTTCTAATAATTCTCCATGTATCGCCGACCTCAGTAAAGACGTTTCGCATCAACGGGTCAATTTTTGTGTTACTCTGTACTCCCCGATCAGTAAATTCAAGAAAATTTACGCTTAGTACATGTTTTATGACTTCCAAATCTCGAATCACGACTATTGGTTTAGTTCCTTTGTAGTATCCAACAACCTTTTCATGTGGATATTTCTTGTAAAGAGCATTTACCATTTGAACTTCGGTCTTCCTCGAAAATACCACTTGAAGATGGTTGCCGAATATCGGTAAAGGTCTGTCATATTTAATATGCTTTTTTGAAAAATATTTAAATTGTCTTAGGTTATAAATATAACACAAAACTACTGATATTGTAAATAATATTATAAACATATTTAAAATTATAAACCTAGCAATTAAATTTAATACTATCCGTTAACAACACCACACCAACACTCACGACTTAAGTCAACTTATTGTAGCATTTATCAGCATCGTAATACTTTGTAAAGTAAATAAAAAAACTGGTTTTAAAAAAAAATATCTCTATATGTATTGAGTTGAAAGAATGTACCCAATTTTTCATATAACTAATCTTGTAACACATCACTTCTTCTTTTGCCGAAAAACAATGGGCGCGAGTCTACTATTGCAGTAGCAGGGACATGGCTCTTATGGCACAACGAATGATCTAATTTCGAGTTCATATGCTGCCAACTTCCCAGCTCAATGCCCGACAGGACTGAGTGTAAATGTTGTGGCATTAGATATGGAACATAGAAACTATATCTCGTACGTCATTTAAAAAATCAGTGGCGCTACAACCTCTGTAGGTCTGGGCCTCAGATTTCTGAATCTGTTTCATGATCATTTTTCAATCTAATAGGCAAGTAGGTGATCAACGTTATGTGCCTGCCACACGCCATCGTCTTTTTGGGTCTAAGACATGTCGGCTTCCTCACGATGTTTTCCTTCACCGTTCGAGTAAATGTTTAAAGCGCACATAGTCCATTGGTGCACAGCCGGGGATCGAACCTACGACCACAGGGTTGAGAGTCGCACCACTGCTCACATATCGATATATTACTAATATTATAAAGAGAAAAGGTTGATTATTATTATGTAGATAAACACTAGCTTAATACGCTGAGGCTCGCGTATTTGCGGTTATTTGTGTGTTAATTATTTGCATTCAAAAGGATCCTCAAACTACGGGAGTGATTTGAAAAAAAAAACATTATTAGAACTCTCCGTAATCCTTTATGAACATAGTTTATGGAATATTTTTAAAGAGTTGTGGTTCTGTCTAATGAACATTCCTAAATCGCGTACGCTACACAAACTATTGACAATAGAGCAAAGTAAGAAAACACCAAAATCTTTTTTGCATTTAAAAGTCTTTTTTACCGTTGGCTTTAGACCATCGTGCTACGACCGAATTAATGCGATTTGAATAGCTGGTTATTTATAAATTGAAATATCTATTCCCAAATTTGTAAAAAGCTAGAAAATAGTTAATCATTGTTTAATGGCACAGCATTATTAAGTTTTGCTGGCAACTTCCACTTCAATGATCTAAAATGTTGATAATCTACAAACTAGTCTATCTCATAAAGTTATCCTCGAGTGGTTAGTAAATTTGTTGGGACTTCAATTCTAGTCCAAATGGCGCTTCAGGCGAGTTATACATCCGTTTTCTATGCGGTTTGTGTATTTATGTTTATTTTAATAGGAGTTTGTAGCTTTGTAAGCCTGAAGATAACATAATAGGTTCTTGTTATGATGCTTTTGCTTTGATTTTACAGGATTCAGTTGGAAAATCCATGAGCAATAGTGACAATTACAAAGTAGTTAAAATGTATTTTTTTTTGTATTCTTTAAATTGCATATTTGTATTTTTTGTTCTAATTTGTTTTTTACTTCTAATGTTTAAGTTATTTTCTCTTTATCATTGTAATGTTTCCTCTAAATGTTGTGCACACTTGTCATTGATGCACATGCGTCATGCATGTATTGTGTTTTTGTAAGTCGTGTGTTCTCTGTAAGTGTTTATATATATGTATTTTATTAGTTTTTTTTATTTAAAATAAAATTTAAAAAAATGTAAACACCTACAATGCTATAATATAACGAACACCATACACAAACTTCGAAAATAAAGCGGTATCTTATCTATTATGTAAATCCCGTATTTAAAAAAAACAATTAAATTAACGGTTTAAAACTTATTAACACTAAATTAATGAATATTTATATTTAATTTATTTATTACAGAAATACCTACATTATCTTTACAGACTATGCCAATACGATAATGTCGAGAAACATTAAGTAAAATATAATAAAGTACTTATATAATATTAAACACATAATATACACAATATCTCTACTGTGAATTCACTCTGCGAACATATAAATATGTCGATAGTGTCGGAGACTGCATTCAGTAGTTGCAACGTCTTGGATAACGGGGATATTTGCAACAGACGGGTTCTTGCCCTTGGTATCGCAAATAACCTAGGCCTTCGCCGTCGCACATATCCCATAGGTACTAAGAAACCCAGTTCATGTGTACTCCACTTGGGTTGCACACTACACCCCTCAAGACTTTCAATACCAGAAGTATGAAGCTGCAAAGTAAAACAGACGACATAATCGCCTTAAATCTATCTCTTCACGGCAAATTTATAAAATTAAATATTGATTGATTATATCTAACGGATCAAATACACCATTTTTAGAAAATATGTCCTCGAGGGCTCGTTACGTCCGAAATCTCCAATTTAATGATCAGGAACAAGTTTTGCATAAAATTGTTCGATTCAATCGCTTTTTATAATTAGAATTCCTTACGTCTCTAGCGGTGTTTCAGGTAATAAGATAGACAGAATTCTGTTACCTTATAATACTAATAATAATTTATTGCACGAATATGGTACCAAAATGTGTAAGGTACAATCGCAAGTTGCATATTCTGCCACATACAATGGCGCGCAAATTACCGTATAGGTATATGTATTTAAACATTCTCCTATATTCACAGTTTTGTGGAGACACGAACCAGATGACTGCGCGTCCGAGTATGCCGTTGGACCCTCATCACAGGAACAGAGATTTTAAAATGATGTATTTCAAAAGCATGTTTTTCAACATGAAATCCAAACAAAACAGTTGTACTTAATTACATGTCCGTCAAAAAGTTTTAATGACCATTTCGTTTTACAGAAAAAACAATTTAAAACAACTCTCGTTTGCCCTCGTCAGATTATAGAAGTTTACTAGACAGGTCTCAGCGTTTCATATACGTAAATATTAGCGAGTTATTTGAAAAATCTTAAGTAACTTCTAAGTTGACTTCATAAGGTATAATATTTTTATTTCGATTTGAAATTTTTAAGATATAATAAAATAATAAGTATTTATGAATACTAGATTCAAACAAGATTCAAACTTCAGAACTAATATGTAATAAACTTCTGTGTTTTAAAAAGGTTAACAGTGAGTTATTCGTTTGAAATTGGCTTGTGTTTTTTTTTACATTAAAGAAAAATAGCAAAACATTAATTATATCGATACCAACTCCGGGGAAACAAATACAGATAATACAACTTTTTCTACAGCTGTGATACTTTTTGACATTCAACACCTTTTGTCTTCAGTCACCGTGACCACGCACGCTGTAAAGCACGCGAAACGTCGGTTAAATTTAAAATTATGTTAAATAATTGTAAATTTATAATAATACATAACTTTAATCCGGTAAAAAATTGTTTTATTATAAATAAACTTAAAACCAACGAATTGTATCAGGCGTAGACGACAGATCCCATTGCCTATACACATAAGTTTCTATGAACACACAACAGGTAGCGTCCCTTGGTGGAAGTAATTTAATTTAATAATAAGGTGGCTTTTTGGATATCGAATTTTGGGTTGAGCGTGTAAAAATATCGTAAATAAATGACCTTAGGGAGGATATTATAATTAGCATACATTTACCTCGGTACAATAAAACTTTCTTTAGATTTTGAATATTATAAAGAATTTTGTTTACTGATCTATTATATGAAATCACTGTTATCGAATTAAAAATCCGTATCCAAATTGACATCTGAATTAGTTGGAAAAAATAACATAGACAAACAATACAGTTGCATTTAGCATCAAAAAGGGAGATTTATTACTCTATTTAAAGCTGAACCCCTATCATAAACGAAGTGCAACAGCAAAATTAAAACATTTTAATTATTGGACTGCCTGTGTAACTCGAACAGCTCACTAAATAGCGAAAAATTTACATCTCTTTGATCAATAAAGCGATTCAAAATAGACACTTGCAAAGCAATCAGTGCACGCGAAATTCGCCTTTCATGACAGAGGACTGCTAGTAAAATACCCCCTAGCGCCATTCAACCAGTCCAATTTCGCGTGAACTCAACTGGAAGGCTAAATAGAGCAAATTACAAGGTGCACACTGCAGCAAGATTAGCAGTAATTAAGAAACTGTTAAATAAGCAATCTGGAAGGACTGTCTCTTTGGATTTAATTTTGCGCTTCGAGGTGTATGGAGAGGCGAGAATGGAATGAGGTTTTATTATGCGTTTGAATAATTGGGATATTAATGTTGAACGAGAATTTATAAGAGTTTTATTCAGAAACGTTCTTTCAGTATCAATTGTTAAATATTATTTGTCACGTTTTCAATTTTACGGATGAGAAAAAAATATTAAATATCAATTTAAGAACTTCAATTGACTGGACAACACACGTTATTATTTACGAATTTTGTATACGTTGAGAAAAACAAGTAACTGTTATTTAAGATTTTACATTAATTTTTTGCGTATTAACGTTAAATAATTGCAGTGACAACTGCTTCTTGAGCTGGTTTTGACGGCTCATTGGTCTAGTTGTTAGTACCCCTGACTGCGAATCCATGGGTCCCGGGTTCGATCCCCGGCTGAGACAATGAGCGAAATCGATGTGATGAGCATTTGGTGTTGTACTTAGGTATTGGGTGTTTAAATATGTATTTATATGTCTAGCTATCTATAATATGTATGTATATCCGTTGCCTAGTACCTATAACACAAGCTTCACCAGCTTAGCATGGGACTATGTCAATTGTGTGAATGGTTCAATAAAAAAAAGAAGAAAAAAAGATTGAAATAAATATATGTTTTATCTACATCGAGATCCGTATCACCTTGACGTGGCTTTCCACAACCAAGCGCTTTTTGAGATGTCCACTCTTTTTGTGGACATCTCTGAACCGATATCTATTAGAATCAAAATTTATCCATTCATATTGGTGTAAACTAATGTGGACACTATGTATGAAAGTCTAAATTTACATCAAGGGCGAGAAAAACTCCCTATTCATTTCTCACTTT